AGGAGAGCAATCTGGAGCTATTTAACATATATAAAAGGAATGTTTAGGCATATGACCAACAATACTATATGTGGTACACTTTGATAAACATTCTTTGTCAACTGTTACATTAGGATTAAACAAATAACAGGCTTTTATGGTAAGCATTCACATATCTACTATGATATAACAAAACCCTTACGTTTCTAATCAAAATAACAACTACATCTAGTAAAAATGTGAAGTTTTTTTACCATCTTGTAAAGTTGTTACATCCCGTGCATTACTCAGTGGACCGTCCTTTATAGTGTATGCCAGTACTTGGAATGAATAGGTTGTGAATTTCTGAAGTCTTGTCACCAGAATCCAATGAGTAGTCGGTTGTTTCACATTGACATACTGTAACTTGTAATTTCTTCCAGATATTTTGTAGGCTATCTTGTATCCTCTCAATACTCCATTGATGCACTTTGCATTTCTATCCAGTGGTGTCCAATAGACGTATACAGATGTGGATGAAGTGGGTGTGGTACGAGTAAGTCGAGGAGAGCAATCTGGAGCTATTTTCATATATAATAGGAATGTTTAGGATTATGACCAACAATACTAAGTAAGGTACTGTTACGCCACAAAATGTAATAACTCGCACAAAATGTAATAACAACGCAAAATGTAATAACTTCAATAACGCATTTTAAATATCCAGAAAATCAATATTTGTTCGGTATACGAACCATACCAGATGACTTTAACTTGAATTTCGCATGAACCGTTAAGATAAATATTGATCTTGAATACGCGATTTCAACGTGTGGATTTTACAAAGCAAGCCCACTCACTCCAGCATTAATATATTTGAGGGAAAAATCAGCAACTCTTCATATATATCACCAATATCAAGCCAACTCAGGATCAACATATACATTAATGATTTTAATAATTGAAGTATGTTAAAACTATCGTATTGAATCCCGACATGTCTCATGGATAAGGGCTAGTTTATTATTCAATATTGTCAACTTGTTAAAATATTTTATTGAGTAAATAACACTTTAAAAAATTTACCACATTATGGTAAAAAACGTACCAAAATAACATAAATTAATAAGTCAGAATGTTCATCAATTAGCAATAAAAAAATACATAAAAATTAGCATTTAATCTTAGCAAAAAAGTCGCGGGCATTTGTTTAATATCTCGTAATTTGAATGTAGTCTAACCAGTTTTTTCCCCAGACGATTCTCTGTTCTGTTCTGTTCGGTTCTACTGTGTCGTTTACGTCCATTCAGTAAACATTGATTTTAAAATGCGTTATTGAAGTTATTTCATTTTGCGTTAGAGCAGTTATTACATTTTGCGTTAGAGCAGTTATTACATTTTGCGTTGTTATTACATTTTGCGTCAAAAGTTATTACATTTTGCGTTGTTATTACATTTTGTGGCGTAACAGGTACACTTTAATAAACATTCTATGTCAACAAGCATTCACATATCTACTATGATATAACAAAACCCTTACGTTCCTAATCGAAATAACAACTATATCAAGTAAAAATGTGGTGATTTTCTTACCATCTTGTAAAGTTGTTGCATCCCGTGCATGACTCAGTGAACCGTCCTTGATAGTGTATGCCAGTATTTGGAATGAATAGGTTGTGAATTTCTGAAGTCTTGTCACCGGAATCCAACGAGCAGTCGGTTGTTTCCAATCGACATACTGTAACTTGTATTTTCTTCCTGATATTTTGTAGGCTACCTTGTATCCTTTCAACACTCCATTAAT